TGAAGGAGGGGAAATTCAGGTTAGATACTAGGAAAAATTTTAGGTTAGATATCAGGAAGAAGTTTTCCCTGTGAGGGTGGTGAGACACTGGCACAGGTTGCCCAGGGAGGCTGTGGCTGGCCCAACCCTGGCAGAGTTCATTCCCGGTTGGCTAAAACCTTGAGCAACCTGCTCTGGTGTGAGGTGTCCCTGCCCAGGGCAGGGGTTGGGGCTGGATGAGCTCTAAGCTCCATTCCAACCTCTTTACACACTATGAAAACCTTATATTGTGGCCTTGCTCATGTTCTTACCTGGTTGTTGTGTGTTATACTCAGCTTTTAACTGATTTTCATTAGAGGGAGTGGTTTAAGTGAAGCTGCTAAGACAGTTGGAAAAACATTTGACAATTGGATGATCTAAAGGTCTTTTCCAACCTTAATGACCCTATGGTTTACCCTGAGCCAACTTTATCCTCTTAGGACAAAATCAAACCCATAGAGGTTTGAATGCCCAAGGTGGCCCAAAGTATGACAAAGAAGTAATTCTTGCACAAAAGTTTCAGGGCCTTGGGATTCAATCCCAACAAACAATCCTGATTTAAGGTTTTGTGTGTGTTTTGAGGCTCTGAGCTAAACCCCATGTTGGCTGGGGAGGAAAGAGTTAGGTGCCTTACAACATTCCTGGGTCCAGTCCAGCTGCATTCCACCGCGGTCTGGTTGATGGCCTTGGCCTTGAGGCTTGGGGGTGCAGGTCTTGTGCCACTGGTCACCACATGTACAAAAGACAGAGGGCTGTCACCCAGCTCCGTCTTAGCCCAAGCAGAAATTTCATAGGGGGTGTGTGCTGTCAAATTTGCCACTGAGCAAGAAGAGAAACGTGCACTATTAGGTGAGGCAAAGCACTGTGATGGCAGGAGGAGAGCACGAGGGAATGGGCAGCAGCATCAAACAGTCTCAGACAGAGATCTGCCTCTCTTGGTTTGTGTTTTCATTACTTTTGAGTAATTTCCTTTATGCAGAGGCACCTGGGACTCTGGTATCTAACCCAGCCTGTGCTTTTCTGTGTCTGGATGCTTTCCCATAGCCAGACAGTGCACACCAGAGACTTTTCCAAACCAGAAATTTGATTAATAGGGACATGTATTGTATACAAGCCCAAGAAATCCTTGTTCTCTTTCTACTTCCTTTTACAGAGTAGAAACACAACCACAAACAAAATCCTGTGTGATGAGAAAAACCTAGTGCAGCTCTGGGGGTAAGTCCCAAATTTACTTGAAATCTCCAAGTCCTAAAAACAGAGGCCAAGGATTTGCTGCTTTGTCCTCTCCGAATTTACTCTCTCCTAGACAGAAACTACTAGTTGCAAAGCAAAAGAAGACAAATAATCCTATAACCTTCCATAAAACCTTCTGCTTGGTGTTGCCTAAAGCAGAATTTGTACTCAGTGCAGAACTTACCTTTTTGGATGGACTTTTCTCCTTCTATGATCAGAGTCCTTTTTTCCTGCCTGTGGGTATCGAATGTCCAGTAGATGTTCACAACATAACCACTGACCTGTCAAGCACAAGGACACACAAAACAAGCTACCAGCTCAGCTGTGTTTGCTTGCAGTGAAACAGTCACCCCTGACAGTCTTTGCATTGTATTTTCCATCCTAATTAAGAGCCTCAGGGCAGTTTATGAGTAGTAAGAAACGATGTGGCATGAAATGACTGGTAATTGCAACACTTCAGTAGATGACAGCTTCTCCCATCCAGTATTTATCATTCATCTAACACAGCCAACAATAAGACTTGAGACTCAGAAGTCAAGGAAAAATTGTTACCTTGATATTAGTGGTCATTTTTAGGCTGAAACTTATGGAGTCCTCAGTGTAGCTCTCGATGTGTATGACAGGGGGAGGGATGACTGCAAGGAAAGAGAGAAAGAGCTGTTACTACAGCACAGAGAAATACAAATCCTTACTGAGAGGGGACAGATAAAATAGAGGCTTTAGTTACAAGATAGAGCTCACAGTCCAGGAACCCACATCTTCCCAGCCCCAACCTTCCCTGTCTCTAAGATATTCCTCCAGTAGAGAAGACACTTTCATGCTGTACCTCCATCACTTTTTGAGTCAAGCACCTAAAAGTTGCCTTATCTGTGCCTTGCTCAGCACAGGCTGGAAGCAGAGGGGTCCAGGCAAAGGGATTTTACTTCTGAACTCAGTGGGATGAGCTCATATCCCAGGGAAGAGCTTCCCTGGCCTGCTGAGAAACTGGGGAGGGAGGGCTGTGAAATACTCATGCACAACCCAAAGTGAACGTCATTTCTGTTCTTTTTACCTGTTTTCCTAACCAACAGCTAAGTCACATTATCTGCATCCTGCAATTTTAGTAGCTTGGTGTTTCCACTCCCTTTTTATCAGCCTAGCAAGGCTGCACTTTTATCTAACAAATTACCAGGTAATTTTGATGTAGGAATGTAAGTTTAGATGAAAAATTTGGCATGATTTCCAAAGGCTTTTCTAAAAAAAGTTGGGAAGGAAATGATGTGCTGCACTGTAGGAATTTATCAGCTGTCATACTGTAATGTGATAGTTTTGGGAACCAGAATGGTCTTTTAGTGGAGATGCAGAAACCATTGAATCATAGAGTGTTAAGGGGTTAGAATGGACCTTAGAGATCATCTAGTCCCAACTCCCCTTGCCATGGGCAGGGACACCTCCCAGCAGAGCAGGATAGAATCATGGAAGAACCTTCTAGACCATGATAGAATCCTAACCTAAGGGGGAGTTGAGCCAACACCTTTACAGGCAGTGAAGCAAAGGAGTTGGTGGTGATGTTTTAACTATCTGAGGGCAGGATCTAGTCTGCCTGAGTCAGAGGGAATCTATCTGCAGTCCAGCAGAGAGGGGCACCTTGTGGACAGGCTCCTCACCCTCTTCCAGGGCACCACATCCATCCTGTGTGCCACAGAGCACAGAGGAGTCAGTGACCCATCCAGATGTGACACTGAACTTTGAGGCAGCTCAAATTAAGGAAATGCTACAGCAAAGTTGTTAAATAGTGTCAAAAGCTCAACAGGGAGAGGAAATGACGAGTAGGAGGTTGTGCATGTTGGTGCTGACACTTCAGGCTGATAACTCTGCCTTTTAGTTGTCCAAGTTGACTAAAACAACAGCATTTACCTTTGCCTTTTATGGTGGTTATGGACTTGGAATCACTCCAGTTTCCCACTCCTCGACTAGTTACTGCAGCAACCTTTGCAAATAAGAGAGAGAGAGAGTTAATATGAACATCACTGTATAATGCAAACAGAGGATGAGGTCAGAGCAAGGTTACGGTGGCAGAGCTCAGGGGAAAAGGACTTTGAAGCAAACAATAGCTTCATTACTTGGCAATAAAATGCTTAATTCAGAGATAAAGCAGAATGCTTCAAGTCAATTAAAGGAATCTAAGAGGAGGGAGGTGCAGATAACTGCTCTCTTATGAGATCTGTGAGGAGTCCATCAAGATAAGGAGCTTTGGACTCTGTGGGCTATGGTGGAGGTAAGAACCAAGCTGCAGACCATGCAAGTGCTAAATCTAGTTGCCAAGATTGATTTGGGAATAGAATATATTGGGAAGGAATAGAATGGGAGGAAAGACTGGCTCCAACCAGCTGTGAGAATGACATTGATCTGAGGGGAACATTTTTCCTACCTCCTAGTGAACTTCCTCATCCAGCACAGGGAGGATGGACACTGGCAGAGCACACATTTCCCAGGGCTCACTGTGCAGACTTTCATTTCCTATCCTTATTATTTCTGTCTATAATTACCCAACTTCTCCCCTGTGCAGACATTCCCCACAGGCAGATCTGCTGCTTTTCCCAGTGATACACTAAGGACCAAATTTATCTCTGGCCCAGATCCAGTGCAATTGCAGTGACATTGGAATGGGCAATTAGTAGTGAGGATTTTATAATCCAGTCTGGCCTTCTGGGACCAGGAGCAAACCAAGGGCCTGAATTCAGGCCTTGGAACTATATATATTAGCAGTGCAAATGCCAAGCCCCTGGTGTGGGTTGGCATTAAAGAGCAGGATTTCAACAACAGATTTTTTTAGCAAGTACTTGACTGTGCAGGACTTAGACCACTTAGGGATGAGAGCATGCTGAGACAGAGCTTTGAAAATACTCACTCTGACTGTGTAGAGTGTGTTGTCCTCTAAGTTCTTGATCTCAGTGTAGTTCTTAGTGGTTCTAAGGGACGACCACTCCTTGGATCCACTGCTGCTGTATTCCACCTAGGAGCAGCCAAACAAGGGATGAGGGCTTCACAGTCAACAACACCACAGAGTGACAGGTCAAGCCAAGCCAGAGTGAAAATGTCAGCAGAAAGAAGTACCACAGCTTAGAAAGGCAGCCAGGAATGATATGGTGAACTGGAGTTGCTACCTACAGCCCTGCAGTATTTCTCCCCCCGTTTTGCCTGATGCTCTGAGCAGATTTCCCCTACAAAATGCCCCATTCCAGGCCCATCCCTCTGCAGAGAGGGCTGTGCTCAGACAGCCCAGCCCACACTGCTGCCCCATCCCTGCTCAGCAGGACTCACGATGAATTCCCGGATGAGGCCGTGAGCGTTCACGGGGGGACTCCAGCTGCTTGTCACCACACCCTCAGCCTCTTTCTTCAGGGACAGCTGAAGGTTGAAGGGAGCATCTGGCACTAGGCAGAGAAACAGAGGTGTCAGTGGCAGTCACAGCTCTGTGTCCGCGTCACACAGGGAAAAGCAGTATCTCCTTGAAAGGTTGGAGCAAATGGGTGGGTGGCCCTTTTTCCCAGTCCAACACAATTCCCACACCTATGGAAAGACTCTTTTTGTTGGTAACCACTGTAATTTCTGCTTTCTAAGCATGCATGAGGGCACTGCTAGGAGCTGTGCAGCTCTGCTTACATCCTTCGGGCGCTCGGAGCGTGATGAAGTCGTTGGTGTTGTAGACTCTGCTGAGACACTGCACTTGGACCTTCACCTGATAGGTGCAGTCAGGCTTGAGGACTTTCAAAACGCTGTTGGTTTTGTTGCTGTGGGTTTCCAGAATCTTCCAAATGCTTTCACCAACCATCCTGGCAAGAGAGAGTCCCATGGCTCTGGTCAGGATGGTGTTGAGTAGCACAGGGGACACAGCTTGTCCCAAATCTCTCTGTATGTTAAAAGGTTGCTGCTTAGTTTTCTTTTGGTACAGCCACACCACCAGCTTAAAACGATGCTGTTGGAAAGCCTGAATTAGTCATGGTTTCATGACTTTTAAGCCTCTGAGGTTTTCTAGAACTGCTGTGCTCTAATATCTTGACTTTGTCCTTGCTCTTAATGGCCCCACAAAGACCCAAGCGGAAAAGAAAGGAACATAGCTGCATTTCTGTGTGAGTAAACAATCATGGAGGAAACAAATACAGTTTGTCACAAATGCCCCCTAGTTACAGCTATTTTGGTATCAAATCTTAGATGATATTCCAAGCAGAACTTGATTAAACACCTCTGAGCCTTTCAGGCCTGTATGATTCTCTGCAGGAAATACAGGCACACTGATAGCTGTGCTAACACTTCTGGCCTTTACCTGATCCAACAAGAGGTTGTGCAGTGTAAGGGGTGATGTACCTGTAATAGATGTTGTAGACACAGGAGGTCGAGGACATCCTTTTTGGCCGAGCCCACGTCAGAGTGACATCTCCAGAGAAATCAGCTGTCCACTGGAGGTTCTGGACTTTGTACACAATTGTGTCATCTAAGCAGGCAATGGGAAAAGTTAGTCTGTTGGAAGGAAACAAGTCCCTTTCCCAGAAGAGAAACAGGAGTGTGTTTGTAGCATGAACAACGTGCAGAGGTAGAATCAGCACTGACTGAAGGGAGTATGTGCACCACTCAAATGAGGTGTGTAATTTAGGTGGGTGTTATCAGAGGAGAAGAGCAAGCTGCAGAAGGCAGTTTAGAGCAGAAATGTTTCCCTGGTACTCTTAGTTCTACCCAAAATGTCCTGGTTGTGTTTAGGCACCATGTAAGTGTCCCCATTCCCCTAGGGGAAGAGAAGGTGTGGCTGTTGAGGAAATCCTGAGTATTTTGGAAGTAAGTGCAAACTAAGTCTCTCTTCTGCTGTTGTGATGAGTCTGTGCTGTCCCTGACAGCCACCCAGGGCCTTTATTTGTGTGTTTTCCCTTATCTCATCTGGTGCTCAGCAGCAGGACCCAAGTGAAGGTTGATAATTAGAGTCTGGGGATCGCCTTGACGCAAGTTCTGCAGCTGCAGCACTGCCTGACCTTGGGAGAGGCATTTAGGGGATAAAAGCACTGTGAAACCCAGTGCTAGCAGGGGTGGGGGCTGGAGGTAATGATTTGAATCACAAATCCATGCCCTGCTCCTGCTAGGCCATTCCCTGCTCCCTCCCTCTGGGAAAAGCGTGTTGGAGCCCAGATCCAACTTGGCCCTGCTCAGGTGCTCAGCTTCATTCTAAGTGCTGTACAGAAAGAGAGTAGAAGCAAACTGCTGCTGCTCTGCTTTCCCTAAACTGCTGGAAATGCAACCCATCAGACACGTGGATCCATGGACAGGCATGGCAAGACAAACTATCCGAGGGAAAAGAGATGGTTTCCCCTTGGCAGAGCAGCCAAGCTGTACATCTCACCAGCTCCTTCCCCCTCCCCTGAACCTGCTAGCCTCTCCCAATCGATATTTAATTAAAGAACTACACCTGATTGATGCTCAACCCCCCAAGCAGTTCGGTGGGAAAGCAGCTGAAGCTCATGGCTGGCCAGAGGCAGCGATCGATCGCTGTTATCTGCCCAGGGTGTGTGTCCCACTGCCTCCACAGAGCCACCAAGGACCACCTTGGGAGGACTAGTGGTGACAGCAGAGCACTGCCACATCTCCCAGGGTCACCTTGCAAAGCAGGACAGAGCAGGAGACTATTGCTTCACCCGTGGGCTATATAAAATAGACAGCTTTGCTCCTACCCATCCTTTAAAAATGATTTTTTTTTCTGTGTCTGAGGCTGCTGGAAGACAAATTGTTAGTGTAGAAGCTGCTGGGAAGTTTGTCCCAGCTGATGATAAATGGGTGAGGAGGTAGCTTGGACAAGTGAACAGAGGTAGATAAGTTAAGGATGTTGTGAGTGAAAGGTCACCTATCCAGGAGAGCACCTCTGTGTGCTGACACAGAGCATGAGAAATGGGAGAGAGCTGCTGCTTACCAGTACAGTTCCTCTCATCACTGCTGTCTGAGCAGTCCAGATATCCATCACACCTCTCTGTCAGCATGATGCAGGCCTCTCCATCCTCGCATTTGTAACCGTTAGGGCACAACAAGGTGCTCTGAGTAGCTGAAAAAAGGCAGAATGATTTCAGGACTCGAGGCAGGGAAGTTTCCTCACCAGCACAGGGCTGTTGGCAGTGTCAGTGCTGCTCCAAAATCAGGCACAGTGGCAGGGATGGAGCTCAGGCTGGTGTGTCAGGCATAGGAATGTCTTGTTCTGGCTGCATCTTCTGGCATGGTGACATCAGAAGAACGTGGAGCTTATCGCACAGAAAACATGGACTTCTAACAGCAGCAGCACTTACCACAAGGATTTCACCAGCAACAAAACTCCTCAGTGGCTTCCCTGTCCTCACAAGGAGCTTCCCAAGGGAAGGAACCAGGCAAGCAGCTCTGCCCACCCAACACTTACGGCAGTTCCTCTCGTCCGTGCCGTCCTGGCAGTCCCTCACGCCGTCACACCTCTTCCAGTTGGGAATGCACTTGTGCAGCTGTTGGCACTCGAACTCGAACCTGCTGCAGCGTCCCGGGAGCGCTGGGGAAGTGGCTGTCACGTTGGGTCCTGCACACAGCAAGGGAGGAAAACACCCAAAGCATGGTCAGGCTGCTGGTGCCACCAGGAGGGACCAAAACCCGTCCCCAAGTCCCAACTCCACTAGATGGCAATCTCTTCCCATCCAGCAGGTGGATGACTCTGCTGGGATGACGCCTAAGTCATCCTCTCTCCTGACTGCAGAGGGCTGGAAAAAGCCACCGTTTTGCAGGGAATGTCCTGCACATGCTGCATGTGTCGCCGCAGCTGGTGGCAGGAGGAGGGCTGACCCCACAGGAGACTTTGACACCGCGGTGTAATTTAATCATCTGACAGGGCTCGGAGACCAAAAGGCCAACATTCCTTGCTGTGGGAAAACGGAAGGGGTGAAGGAGGGAAAAGCTTACGTGAGGTGGGACAGGCTTCCTCGTCAGAGCCATCAGCACAATCCTTGTAGCCATCACAGACCCAACTGTTGATGATGCAGGCGCCGCTGTTGCAGCGGAAGTGATTTGGTGAACACGTCGGTGGGATCAAGGTGGTAATGGGATGAACTGGAGAACCTAAAAATACACCAGGGAGAGCTGACCTGAGATCCCTGTTCCGGTGCACACTCTGTTCCTGCTCCCAGAGAGCCACTGTCAGCAGTGGGAAGTAGTGAACAGGCAAAGCATCACGACCCCAACGTTTTCATCTGCACATCTCCTCATCAGCATTTCCAAACACACAGACTATCACAGAATGTTAAGAGTTTGGAATGGACCTTAAAGATTATTTAGTCCCAACCCCTCCTGCTATGGGCAGGGACACCTCCCTTCAGACTAGGTTGCTCAAGGCTTTACCCAACCTGGCTATGAGAAGAGATGCATGAGAGGGCACACTCAGCTCATTTAGGGGGGATTTTTGGAGCCACAGGCTCTGGCACAGGCTGTCCCAAGCAGCCCTGTGGGATAGCAGCTGATGCTGAGTGGTCCTTCAGTGTGCCACAGCCCAACCTTAGCCAGAGTGTGTCCTTACCCTCACAGTCCTTCTCATCAGACCAGTCCCCACAGTCATTCTCCTCATCACACTTCCACCGGTTGGGGATGCAGTGCCCATTCCCACACTGGAACTGGTAGTACCGGGAGCAGTTTGGAGCCTCTGTTGGGTTTTCTGACAATGAGAAGAGAGTCCTGTGAGCCCCAGCATCATCATCATCTCACCAGTGTTCAGCACAGCAGAGACGTGGGAGCACCTCAGGCTGGGTTATGGCTCAGAGAGCATCATCACCCTGAGCAGCACAGGCACAGTCCTTTCTCTTCCTCTCCAGCATCCCCATTCCTCCCAGCCCTACCACTGTGTGCTGGATGCTTCATGGCCAGACACCACTCATGATGTCAGAACTAGATCTGACAGCAGAATTCATCAGAGCATGGCAGAAATGGAGAAGCAAACCCTGCAAGTCTGAAATGAAGACACAGCTGCCTCGCCTGGCTGGGTACAGCTCCTACAGCTACCCAGGGAACAGTGGTAAATATTGAGTTTGGCTGGAAACTGCCTGTCTGCTTCAGGCTGGGAGTCTGTGGAGTAAATATGGTCACATATGACTTTGTCAAGCAGAAGGTGTGGCAGCCAGATCGGATTTTAAGTGTGCTTCACTTTGCCTACCTGCAACATGAGGAAAATGATACTGATCTTCACCTAAGACACACCATGGAATGCTACACACCTGTGTGTACCAAGTGCCATGTAAAACATGAAGCAGGCAGTACTCTGTGCTCTTGAAACTCACAGGAGGGTGGAGCTATGGTGACAAGAGACCCTGAGAGAGTGCTCACCACAGTTTGCTTCGTCGGAGTAATCGCCACAGTCGTCCATCCCATCACACTTCCACACCAGGCTGATGCACACACCATTCTGGCACTGGAAGCTGAACTGGTCACAGGTCCGGTGGAACTCAGGGTCCTGAGCTGCAGGGCAGCAGGGAGAGGTTTAGTGTCAAGACCAAGGGCTTGAGGGAAGCTCCTTGTTGAGGAGGAAGGAGCACACTCAGAGGCAATCATGGATTTATAAGCAGAGCATTGCAGTAGAGCCACCTCTGAGATCTGGCAGCTTTCTGAGGGATGCATACTCCACCCCATGCCTCTGGTTTCGTTCTCTATTCAACCCTCCTTTTGCAGAGATGCCCAAGATCTCACTCACAGCAGCCAGCATAGTTGGCATCTTCATCCGAGCCGTCTCGACACTGGATGATGCCATCACACACCATGGAGTGGAACAAGCACTGCTGCCGGTTCTTGCACACAAAATCCATGTAGCGAGTGCACAGGGGCTCTGTGGAGGGAGGTCAGGGGGAGAGGGGGTGGCACTTCTGCTGTCCTTGGC